ATAAAAATCAGTTGCATTGATGGTCTAAGGTCATCTAATAATATACTGAAGTTTATTTATAAAAATCAGTTGTTAGACCATCAATGCATTGATGGTCTAACAAGGTCATCTAATAATATACTGAATTTTTCATTACACTCTTACTTAACAATACATGTATAATTAGCATAATAAATACATAATATTATTAACAATGGCTATGATAATCATATTTGTAAATCAGAATATAATCATATTATTCATGATATTACAGTCTCTGTACAAAAGTCTCCTAGTTTCTGATAAGACGACTGTAGAGGAGGTGATACAGCTAGTCCTCCATTGCTACAATTCCAAAGAGAGGCCTAATTTATTCTCGCTGTATGAAGTGTCTGCAAGTGATCACTGTAAGCATCGTTTTAGTCTATTAAAACTGTCTAACCCAGAAGATTGTCATTTTTGTGTTCTACATAATACAGGGTATTAAGTGTGTTTTGGTGCAATGGGCAGCATAATTTTTATATTAAGTGTGTTTTGGTGCAATGGTCTGCATAATTTTTATATTAAGTGTGTTTTGGTGTAATGGTCTGCATAATTTTAATATTAAGTGTGTTTGGTGTAATGGGTGCATAATGTTTATATTAAGTATGTTTTAGTGTTATGAGCAGCATAATTTTTATATTAACTGTGTTTTGGTATAATGGTCTGCATAATTTTATATTAAGTGTGTTTTGGTGTAATGGTCTGCATAATTTTTATATCAAGTATATTTTGGTGTAATGGGCAGCATAATTTTTATATTAAGTGTGTTTTGGTGCAATGGGCAGCATAATTTTTCTCGTATTACATTTCGTCACTTGTATTAGTTTTGTATCAAAAGTTGTACCTAAAGCTGGTTTCCAATGTCAGTATTGTACAACTTCTAACAATATTCGTTACTTACTTTTACTTGTTTCAGAATAACCTATCAGTTTTGATCTAGTATTAACACTGTGTTAAACAAAGTGAAACTTTTAACCTATCAGTTTTATTCTAGTACTAACAATGTGTTAAACATAGTGAAACTTTTAACCTATCAGTTTTGTTCTAATACTAACAATTTGTTAAACAAAGGGAATACTAGAACAAAACTGATAGGTTAAAAGTTTCACTTTGTTTAACACATTGTTAATACTAGAACAAAACTGATAGGTTAAAAGTTTCACTTTGTCTAACACATTGTTAGTACTAGAACAAAACTGATAGGTTAAAAGTTTCCCTTTGTTTAACACATTGTTAGTACCAGAACAAAACTGATAGGTTAAAAGTTTCACTTTGTTTAACACATTGTTAGTACTAGAACAAAACTGATAAGTTAAAAGTTTCACTTTGTTTAACACGTTGTTAGTACCAGAACAAAACTGATAGGTTAAAAGTTTAACAATGTGTTAAACAAAGTGAAACTTTTAACCTATCAGTTTTGTTCTAGTACTAACATTGAGTTAAACAAAATGAAACTTTTAAGCTATCAGTTTTATTCTAGTACTAACAATGTGTTAAACAAAGTGAAACTTTTAAGCTATCATTTATGTTCGGTACTAACATTGAGTTAAGATCTAATTAACTTATTGTTATTAGCATTTAAAGTAGTCTAGTCTACATTCCTTTAATGGAGAACATTTCTTCTGCTATGTTCAGATGAAAGAAAACTCTATCCTCAGGAATATCCACTTGTCATCCAGAACAAATGGTCTGATCCAAAACAGTTCGCTTTCCACTTGAGGAGAAACATCGCAGGATATCGAAGACGAAAAGTAAGTGTACATTATAACCTTTAGTGTTGAGTAATTGCAGATACGTCAGTAGTCAAAATTATTCCCACATATTATTGATATCTTATGAGGAACATCAAATTTAAGAGAAGAAGAGAGATTATTTCAATATTATGCGTTAGAGTAATGCATAAAACGTATGTGAATGTATTTATTTATTTCACCAACTATGAGCAGTAACACGAAGTCACATCGAATATCATTATCAATTTTCCTTTTTTTCTATGTAATTTAAAATATATTGGTTCAATTTCAATATAAGACAACAAAGTACTATATTTTTTGCTCTCGATAAAATAATGAACGTTAGGTGGAGCTTCAGACTTGCAAGAACGCATATTACCCAAGGTTTGAGATAATATCGTATTTATGTAACCCTTAATTTAAATTCTGAGTTACAATATCGCCGACTGCTCTTCACTTGGTTTTTTAATATTGAATCGGATTACTTCATGTATGTTAAATTATCATAATCTTTCGTTACATAATTTATTGTTTTATACTGTTTGTTTATATTTATATAAACTTTTCTTTCACAAAGTCCTATTAGCTGCATTGTTTGCTTTTCAGGAAAACTTGGAAAAAAACTCATCTCGTTGTTTTAGACTCTTTGTATGATGTTTACAAGCACTTTCACTTAATAAGAAAATAAGTAAGCATTTTCGATATCTGTTTTTATAATTAGTATAGTAAGAAAATAGGTAAGCATTTTCGATATCTGTTTTTATAATTAGTATAGTAAGAAAATAGGTAAGCATTTTCGATATCTGTTTTTATAATTGGTATAGCAAGAAAATAGGTAAGCATTTTCGATATCTATTTTTATAATTAGTATAGTAAGAAAATAGGTAAGCACTCTATAAAATCAGTACAATTTTGATATATATATATATATCTTATTATCAACATTTTTTCAGAGAAGTCAACTCAAGCATTAAAAATATCCCTAGAAATGCCAACACTCTTTTCAACTACACTTGCGCGCCATCTATCCTGTAGCTTTCAGTCTATGTTAGTAATGTGATTCTCTGTACAATGTAAGTTTGGAAATTTCTTTGAAAAAATAGTTTTGTCAGCATAGTTTGAAGTAATCAGTAAATAGCGCTCCCAATGCTAAAAATTTGCATCCTTTCTAGCTGATACTGAAGATAACTGTCAAAATTTTGCCTTATTCAGAATCTGTCGATTTCACGGACTAGCGGCAGACTATTTAATAGACGCTTTAAAGAATATTTCTTCCCTATATTTTCTATAGACATTGTGACATCCTATGTACTGTATTACTGTTTCGACTTTCTAAGAATGTTTGTTTACAGCGCCATCTTTTGGTAACTAAAATATACAATTCATCCTCCTCGTCCTCTTTAACCATTGATATCAAAAATCATTCTTTTCTGGATCCTAGAAATAATAATAATACTTTTGCTTGTTTGTTTATTTTTCGCAGGCTTTTAGTTAGATTTGGGTATGTTTAGAAATAAGGTGTCTTAAAAATAATTTTCAAAATATTTTTATGTATTTACGAAATCTAAGGAACAAAATTTCTTGCCTGTATGGTGGCACTGATGTGCATTAATAAATATTAATTTCTTTTTAGTTTCTGAATATTACATTAATTTTTATGGTATAAAATGTTTTATTTTGAATTTCAAAACATGTACCATTGTTTGTTTCATCATCTTCTTCTAGCTTCTGTGGATAAGACTCACTCACATTTGTAGCAACACTATATTGAAGCCCAGTGGTCCTGATGATGTAAGCCATCGAAAGATTTACACTTCGTCTCAGAAGCCATCATACAATTATTACAATAATGCTTCTTATATTTGAGAAGCAGACATGATGGGACTAGTCAGCGATGGGAAGAGTCAGACTGATAGAAGAAGTTTAAATGAACTGGATGTAAAATAATGCACGTAGTTCCTAATTAACAGTATTTTTGCTTGTACCAGAAGTTGGTCCAAAATTATGTTACACTTGTTAACTTCCTAATCAGAGCAGAAAAACAAACAAACAAACAAACAAAAGAAAACAACGAAAGTTCGTATAAAACTTTTTAAGTTCTTAACTCTGTGAAAAATACTTGAAGAACACAAAACAAATTTTATTCCAAATATATCTTCAGACCCTTTAAAAGTATCATAAAAATGATCAATTTGCTCTCTGATGATCTACCTTGAAAATGAATTGCCACATTTGAGTCATGATCTTTTGAAACTTAACGATGTGGTATTTCACTGTAGTATGGTAAGTGTCACAAGAACAAACCCTGTTCACTCTCTTGATCTTTAGCATTATGGGTTTCAAGTCAAGGAATCTGAATGAAGAAATGCTAATATTTTTATTACTGAAATTGTTCATCTTGCCTAAGTGTATTGACCCATCACCATAAAATTAGGACATTTCTCCGACAGTGACAAAATTATCCAGTACTGCATTCTAGCAAAATAGTAGTAATTTTCCACTATTATGTACTAAAAACTGCAAAATTTAACCATGCTCATCCAGCAAGAGTTACAACGTTTAATCATGTTCAACCAACATTCACCAAGAGTTACAAAGTTTAACCATGCTCATCCAGCAAGAGTTACAAAGTTTAACCATGCTCATCCAGCAAGAGTTACAGAGTTTAATCTTGCTCAACCAACATACAACAAGAGTTACAATGTTTAACCATGCTCATACAGCTAGAGTTACAACGTTTAATCATGTTCAACCAACATTCACCAAGAGTTACAAAGTTTAACCATGCTCATCCAGCAAGAGTTACAGAGTTTAATCTTGCTCAACCAACATCCAACAAGAGTTACAATGTTTAACAATGCTTATCCAGCAAGAGTTACAACGTTTAATCATGTTCAACCAACATTCACCAAGAGTTACAAAGTTTAACCATGCTCATCCAACAAGAGTTACAGAGTTTAATCTTGCTCAACCAACATCCAACAAGAATTACAATGATCAACCAACATTCACCAAAGAGTTACAATTCCTAACCAACATTTACCAAGTGTTAAAAAATTGAATTAAGTCTAACCAATATCCAACAAGAGTGACGAAATTGAAAGATGTACAACTAACGTCTAACCAAAAATCAGATAAAGACCGATTTGGTACGATGAAATCTATAATAAAAGACGAGTAAATGTCTGTATCACACACAAAAAAAGGCAAACGTTAAATAGATGTTTTAACGTTTAGAATGTTTCGGGCTGGGACACCCTTCTTCTGGTGATTGTATATAAAAAAAGAAGTATACGTTTTCGATAACATCTACCAAAAGTTGCAAAGTTGAAAACACGTTTAATCAAAATGTATCATAAGTTACAAAGTTTAACCTTGTTCAACCAGTCAAGAGTTCCAAAGTTTAATCATTCATAAAATGATTCTTTACAAACTTTGAGGAAGTTTTACAAAATTCAGTTCAGAAATCTACTAAATTTGCAGAGATATGCAAAACTGTGTTTAAAATATACTGTTAAAAGTTATCTAAATATGATTGTAGAAGAAACAAATAAACAAGGAGATTCGTCGTAAATGTGGATATTGTGTTAACTCCGTATCGTACATGAAAATGGAGTTAAACTCTTAATATCCGCATACTATAAGCTGTAAACTTATCAATAATACTTGCCCAAATCAAATATAAAAAAAAACCGGTATTAAGGACGACGAACGTATTTGAAATTAAGTTCTAAACTTCAATTAAGCATACCCTTGCTAGAAAAAAAAAGATTAAGTTAGCGGAAACGCAAGAAACATGCCCAATTTCACTATTTTATCTTTAGTGGTATGTTTGGATGTATGGTGTAAATGATACTTATTTTATCCACACAAATTATTGAGAATTAAAGGTTTAGTAGTGTAATCTATAAAACTAATGTTGTACTGGTGACGTCAAATATTTCCCAAAGATTTCATGTTTGACTATAAATGCTAATTTATGTTGCAACAACTAAACAGTGTAAGAATTAATTGTTATAAAACTGTAGATATCACGTGAGATTGTAAATAAAAGCTGTAAAGTTAACTAAGTGTTTTAAGCAGTATACTATATTATATGCACGTGTAAATACTCTACATTATATACATTTCATCTCATTTTTTGTTGTTGTTAATATTTCTGTTCTCAAAATAAAGAAAGTAGTAGTTACGTGATGCTCGCAAGTTAATTTTGTTAATTTTGGTT